TCTTCAGGCGGAATGAGGAACTTCCTTTCTGGGGTGACTGACTTAGTGTTCCATCCAATGACGCACGCGCGAAACTTCTCAACGCCCTCTCCTCTGCTTTCGTATCTGCCCATAAGGAGCAGTGGCTCTAATGCCGGGCGGTACGTGGAGACGATTAACTCTGTGGTCATGTCAGTAGAAACATAAGGTTTGGTGCAAAGGGGTGTTGTACTGCTGAGATAGCTCAAGTGATTCTCATCGCTATCCAAGAGAGGCGTAGCAGGAACGCTGGGAGGTGCTGGTACATGGGGGCGACTCTCGTTGCTCGATTCATGTGCCATGGTACTCATGAAGACGACGGTGTGCGGAGCTTTATTGGACAACCGCCCCTCAAGGCTATGTATCGATCGGGCTGCTTGCTCTCTGACATCGCAATCATCTTTAAGAGACCATGGGTTTGGCAAAGCAAGCCATGCATCCTGTCATTGCTGACAATTCTAGCAATTGTATAAGCAATCACCCAGAGTATAATTGCATGAGATCCCCTTCCCAGTACGAAAGATCGCTCTCACACCCAACCTCTTCTACTACCCCTCGATCCAACGATGGCCAGCCGCCCAGTAACACGAGACGATGTCAATAACCTCAAACTCCTCAAATTTTTGGTTACATCCCTCTTCCTACCAAACTTCCACGCCGCTGTAAAGATAGCTCGTCGTCGCATCACGAATGGCAACTTCGAATATTGTGCCATGGTCATAGGATATCCGGTAATGGTTGTCTCTCAGGCTAGAATTCAAGAGACGGTTTTCATTCCAATGCAAGTAGCAAACTCGCGTAGTGAGGTGCTATTGAAACTGTTGGAGGCAGTGGAGAACTATGATGCAGCGCGGTTTCCATAAAGTTGAGATTGGACTCCAGGGTGTTTGAAGAGCGGAGAGACGGGAGCGAATAGTCAAGACGCTGGGGTTGGAAACGGAAATGATCATGATGGATTGGATCATAGAGATGCTTCCGATGATTACGATACTTCGAGGAGGTTCGAGCATGAAGACGTTCATGAACATTTAGAAGCGCACGACAATGGACAGAACTATAAAACCAAGCGAAGTTTCTGATTCGAGGGGGTCAAAATCGTTAAGGAGATGTCAAACACTCCAAGGCACCAAAAGCGCAAATCGTCCCTATCCAAAGCACCCTCACCCCCTCTCACCCCTCCCCACACTCCCACTCCCAACACTCCCACCTCCATCCCTCGCCGCCTTCTTCTTCTGATAATTATCATCATTCAACATCATCCTCCCAATCTCCATCTCCACAACCCCCAACAAATGCTCCAGGGCCTCTTTCCTGCTCCCACCCATCTCCGGTCCCAGTTCCAAGCTCCTGACTCCACCTTGTTCGATGCTGTAGAGGGAGGCGCAGAAAGCGAGAGAGGGGTCGACGGCTTTTGGTTTGGAGGTGGAGGAGGCGGAGGCTTTGGGTGGCGGGTGGCGGCCGAGGATGCAGGAGGGGGGTTTGAGGGGGGAGAGGATCCATGATTGCGCTGGAGGTGGAAGGTGAGTGGATGGAAGGGATGGAGTTGGGGAGTTTTGGTACTTACTTTCGATTAGGTCGATGAGGTATCTAATCTCCGTTTCGTCTTCACCTCGCAGATTCGGAAGAGGTTCGCGGGGTCGGCCGAGGCGCTCAGGCATGCTTGCAGCCAATGAATCCATGTCTGATCACTGCGAATTAAGAGTGTAGACATTGAGAACATCTAAAGACGGTCTATTATGGCGAGAAACCGGTGAAGAAGCCGCGTCATCAGCTAGGATTAGTGGTGTACCAATGTGTTTGTCTAGTTGTACAGTGAGGCGGGAAGGTGAACAGGTGGGTGAGATCACTTGGAGAAGCAAACTTTGTGGAACCGTCGAAGCGATTCGACACGATTGCGTATCCTCCGTACGAGACCCTCATAAGAATTCGCGATAGATAAACAGTGTCTGGTACGTCACTTGTATGATCTAAGCTGATTGAATTCGCCTGAAGTGTGCGGTATCTACGTCAAAAGATGATTTTGGTATGCGTAGAGTGCATATCGCTATTGACGAGCACCAACACGTTTAGACGCAAGGTCCTTCCAATTTCAATACAGAAGCTTCTTCCGTTCTTTCTCTCTCCAATCTTCGTGCAGATCTCTTGCCTCTATCATGTGCCTCTGAGGTCACCTCGTCCATCTGTTCCATCATCCGTCGCCCCGGTCGCCGCCTCTCGAGCAGCGCGCTCTGCTCTTTCCCTGTTACTGGCCATCACTCCTTTATAGACATTCTCCCAAAAGTCTTCTCGGTTCTTTTCCCGGGTCTTCTCCGCCGCCCACCCCTCCAAGCTGCGTAACAGTCCTAGTAATGCTTCTTCCCTTGTCAACCCCCTATGTGGCCCCCCAAATGGCAATGACAATAATCTTGAGGGATCTGTGGTTGAGCGAGCAGCAAGGTTAGTCAAATATCCATTGGGGCCGGTATCGGTGTAACTTGGACAGACGACGATGGATGGTTTGAATTCATCGCCGAAGAGGCTATCGGCTAGCATCTTCACATAGCTAAGAGTGCGGTGGTCGGCTTCGGTTACGTGTTTGGCCATGACTGTGGTGTCTGATTCCACAATGCTTGATGTCCTGGTGAGTTAGTAAAGGTAAGGCAAAGTACGCTCCCTATATGGGTGGATAAATGCGACAGTTTGCTCGCCATGGCAGTAGACACAAGCGCGTCGAATAGTCTCTGATGGTCCAATGGTGTGGAAGCCCCCACGTACTAGACATTCTTCTGCGACATGGAAGAATACTCAAGAAGGATGAGGATCAAAAGCACGGCCCATTCGATGTCTGCTGCACTGTCGTAGCGTGTTGGTGTTGCGTTGCACAAACGCCCAACAAGGAATGCTCCACCCTTGTGGCGCATGCGCAAACGCCCAATCTCTTTTTCCAGTTACTTCTCGGATTTTCGCCGTTTCTCTTGCATGATCTGGCTGCTGCCTTTTCCGATCTCGTCGACACGATGACGCCGGTGGCACTTCTTGTAGCAACTGTCTCATTGGTTGCGCTCGTAATCCAGTATCTTTCTTACCGACGACAATGCCTCGTAGGTCTAATCTATCACCTACACACTCCCAAATTACTAAATTTGCAAAGTCAGATCAAGCGATTAGCGACCGCCACGGATGTCTTCCAGCCCCCAGACTGAAGAACCAGAGGCCATTTGGTATCGATCGACTTGAGCAGATCTTCCGTGCAGACTCTGAATCGCGATTGATGGAGCTCTTCCTGTTCCATTTTCGGCAAACGGGAAAGACACTAGAGCACAAGTTTCTGGGAGTGAAAGCGTATGGAACGGTCGAGCCGGCTAATTTGGAGGCTATCTTGTCTACCAGTTTCAAAGGTGCGAAATGAAGAAGATGAAGTGGTGGGTGTTTTGGAAGGCTAATTTACAGCTAGACTTTGGTCTTGGGCCTCGTCGAGCTATCCTTTTTCCGGCGTTTGGTGATGGTATTTTCACGCAGGAAGGCACTGACTGGAAACACTCTCGGGATATGCTGCGACCGCAATTGCAACACAAGCATTATGAGAGCCTTGAGATATTCCAAGAAGCGACCAATGATCTCATCCGGTTGGTTCGAGAACGCGACGGGATCGTTGATCTTCAGCCGCTCTTCTTCCGCTTGACCCTCGATACTACGACAGCGTTTTTGTTTGGCGAGTCAACTCGCAGTCTCGCAAACCCGGAGGTTGTTGGGGAGCGGACTTTTGCGGACGCATTCAACACCGCCCAACAATGGGCCGTTATCAGATATCGACTCCAGGACCTGTACTGGATGATTGATGGTAGAGGGTTCAGGGAAGCTTGTCGAGATGTTCGCGAGTTTGCCGACAAGATTATCGATCGCAATATTTCGTCGAACCGATGTAAGACAGATAATGAGGGTAAACATGTCTTTCTGGATGCCGTTGCGCAGCATGCGTCGAATCGAGCTGCATTAAGAGGTCAGATCATCAGTCTGTTAGTCGCTGGGAGGGACACCACAGCCTGCCTTCTTTCCTGGACATTGTGAGTTGCGCTTCCCGGTGTTGGGGTTTTCGTCTAATGTGAACAGCTTTCTACTCGTACGTCATCCAAACGTGATGAAAAAGCTGCGCGAGGAAATCCTCTCGACCTGTGGCACAGATTCGGAACTTAGCCGCGATAGCTTGAGACGATTACCGTACCTGCAAAACGTACTCAAAGAAGGTACGTCGTAAGCTGAATTTTCCTCTCGAACGAAATTCTCACTTGAAGATTAGTCCTGCGACTATACCCATCCGTGCCTGTAAATATCCGTATGGCTTCAAGGACCACCGTAGTTCCCACAGGAGGCGGTCCGGATCGCACTTCCCCAGTCCTCATACCAAAAGGGAGCGCGATAGCTTTCAGTGTGTATGCCATGCACCGCCGACCGGACCTTTACGGGATGGATGCAGAGCTGTTTCGGCCAGAGAGGTGGGATGAAGAGATGCCTTTGCAACAAGATCCGACGAACGCCAAGTGGGGATATCTTCCTTTCCATGGTGGACCGCGGACCTGTCTGGGCAGTAAGTACCTGCGTGGGTTACGCTTTTCGTCATTAAGCTAATCTGAAATTCTAGTGGACTTCGCGCTAACGGAAGCTGGGTACGTGATTGTGCGACTTCTTCAGAGCTTCGCGGATATCAGACTTCCCAAAGGAGAAGCTGCCGAGCTGGTAGGAGTGGAGAAGCAGGTCATGACATTAGTCATATCGATCAAAGACGGCTGTAAAGTTGAGATCAGTTAGTAGTAAGGCACAACTTTGGTAGGGTTTCTGGTGATGAGATGTGATGGAGATGTCCACCTGGGCAGGTGCACATGTACTTTCAATCTGATTAGCGCGCGGCGCTAGTGAGGACCCTGACTTCTCGACCAGCAGGTACCAGGGACCACATCTACCAAACATGCCATCCATTGCTTAACCATGCCTCTACGTTTTCCTATCTACCAAGGCTTCTGTGGAATAAACTCTACCCCAATTTCTCTGGCGATATCTTCCATCGTCAAAGCTTCTCCTGCAGCTGAGACCAGCCCTGTTCCGCTCTCCGCTCTCCTCCTAGCTTCTTCATACGCTGCTTCGCAACTCACCAAGTTCTTCCTCTTCCGTTCGTTTTCTTCCACATCATCTCTTTCCTTGTCGCTTATGATCACGTCGAGTCTCCAGGACGCGATTTCCTCAAGCCTCTTCCGCACGGCTTCTAGAACACCAATCCGAGTTTTGGCTGTTTCGACCTGCGAGAGTAGTCGTCTCTTGACACTACCTGAAGACTCTATTTTTGACTCTACTACAGCGGCACGATACCGGTAAGAATCCCTGTCAGTGCTCAAGCCGTGGGAAACGTACAATTTGCCATTTGGATAGACGGCGTCGAGAAGCTTGGTTACGACGTAGAAGGTCTGGAACTCGAGGTCTGTGATGCTACTGGACATCGGTGCTGGTCCCGGGTTGTTAGATAGCGTAAGTGTTGGAATGTCAGCATGCGTGTGCGTGAAGTTATATAAGTAGAAGGCAGGCAGGTATAAGTTTGTCTACCAGAACAGTGATCAAACTTAGCATCACCCAGCCAACTTAATCCCAGTCTCATGATAGCCGCACAGGTACTTGCAGCAGAACAACATGTCACATATGTAACACACTACGAAGTCTGCACATCACCCTGACCGCCCCTTGTCCCTTCCTTCAAATCTCTATCCTCTCGCTTCGCTCTTGCCTTCACCCGAACTGGTGAAGAGTCCTCACTTGACTTGCGTTTACCAGACATTTCCGCGTCCCCCTTCTCTAGAGACTGGTCGGTGTCTAACCGGGGCTTTTTGTCTGGACCACTTCCACCCGGCGCCTTGCCTTTCCTCTTCCCTCCCTCGTCTTCCTCTTCACTGGATGGTTCCATGGCATCAAGTTCAGCATCAAGTTCAGCATCCCTAGCCCGCCGTTCCGCCTCGATCTGCTCAAAGTTATCGTGCGCGTAATCCTCCAGATCTCCCAAAAGCGTGTCTAGTGCATCGACGCGTTTCTTCGCATTACCGCTAGCCATGATGATGTCCTTCATCACCTTGCCTTCATACTTCGCTACCCCGGCGTGGTAGCTTATAACCTTGCCGGCTAGGTTCTTTTCACGGGCGACATACAATCTGTGCCCCGGGAACACTTGGCGGATGAGTTTGGCGATGAAGTAGAAAGTGTTGTACTCTGCGGCCGTGATAGGCATACCCGCTGATTTTGATTTCGTGGGATCTTTGTCGATTTTCGGAAAAGGGCGGGTGTGTGAGTTAAACCAGATCGACCTGCAAGTTCTTAGAGGTGTATATAGTCAATAGTATGTACAACAGTACAAGTTTGCTTATTTAGTCAGTTCCCAGAATCAACGGGACTTGACTAGCTGCTTACAGCCAGTCTCATGAAAGCAAAGCAAGTACATATGACAGTAAACCGTCTTAAAATCTGGACATACCGCGAATCCCGCACATCAACTCGAACCCTTCCTTCTACTCTTCAAGACCGTTCTACCAACATACCACCAAAATGTCCCAACCATCTCCCACATCCGCAATAACCCCCACAGACGAAGCAACCTACAACTACCTAAAAAGTCCGCCGCTTCATCGTTTGATCTACCTAGAACTAACAACCACCCAGAGCTCTCCGCCATCTTTTTCACCCCAGACGATCACGAAATTTTCATCGGCCGTCACCAACCCCGCAGCGCCGTCGAGCCCTTCCGCTGTACCATTCTAGGCATCAGCGACGATAACGAACTAAGATTTGAGACCGCGCCGCAAGAAGGACGTACGCGTCACGAGGCGATGATGAAGACAATCGAGTTGTTAGAGACAAAGGCGCAGACGGTCATGGCGAGGGTTGAGGGGAAGAATGGGAGCTGGGTGTTGGCGAGGGAGATGGCGAAGAAGAAGATGAAGGAAAGGGAAGAGGAGGTTAGGAAGAAGAGGGCGGAGGCTTGGGTGAGGAAGGCACAAGAGGCCAGATTAGAGAGGCTAGAAGAGGCAGGCGCGAAGGCAGAGGAGGTGGAGACCGAAGCGGATAATGGGGATCGGAACCCTGGACTTGAGCTATACTATACTGTCGTACACGAGAGCTAGAATCTGCACCTAGCGCGTCGTGTCAGCAGACACCGAAAGCCATGGATTAGAATATCTCCATTCCTCAAATGACTAGACATAAACTCCATTCCTATGCAACAAACGCCATGCTATGCAACATTGAAATGTACATATCAACATAACCAACATGCCTTCGTATCCGTTATATTCGCCATATCTCACGTCCCCCAATCGTCCCATTCGCCGTTTTTCCGCGGCCGTTCCCGACTTGTGCTTTTCTTCGCTTTCGGTGCTGGGTCTAAGAACCCATCTGGAATATCATTCCAGTTCTGCGTCCCTTTCGGGGGTGCAGATACGGTCTGCGCTTTTCGTGCTTTTCGTTGGTCAACCGCTTGCTCGTCGCTCGAGACCTCGTAATCGTCGTCTTCGTCTTCGGATATGTAATTGTATTGGTCGAACTTCCTCCTGTCGATATTTTGGAGCTGTACGTCGCCATCGGCGTACATGCCGCGTTCTCTTCCTAGTATTTGGTCGGCTTTGTTCGGACTTCTTCGTCCGTCGATTGGACCTTTGGCGATGCCATTGGAGGGGGTGAGGTATTGGGTCGGCTCGCCTTGACGAGTGGGTGCTTGCCACTCCGGACGTCTTGTGGCTCGCGGTGGAGGCTGGTTGTATTGGCCGGGCATCCACCCACCCGGACCGCGAGTGGGACGCGTGAACTCTGCTTCCGTAGGAGTATCCACGCCCCAACCAGCCGCGCGCTCACGCTGCTTTTGTATTTGCTCTTCCCTTTCTCTTTCACGCTTTATCCGTTCCCGAGCTGCCAGCCACTTCGGACTGGGCTCCCACGACCATCCGTCTCCAGTTGTTGTTACCAGTGGCACGAACCACTTCAACGGCGAAGGCCCAAAAACATGTCCGATGTTACGCTTCCAGCCCAGATCGAACGCGTTCGGTAGCATCTCGTTGTCGCGCTCGTCGAGGTAGCTGTCGTAGCGGTCTTGGTTCTGCTGGCGTTCTCGGTATTCGTAGGATTGGTAGTGCGGGTGGGAGTAGCCGTTCGCGTGACCGGGGACGGGAGAACGCGATGCGGAGCGCGAAGGCTGCTCACCCTCTTCGGGTCTGGTCACTCCCGGGAGAGCGTTCGCGTGGATCTCGCGCAACTGGTCGCCAACGCTCAAGCGGCCGTTTGCTTGCGCCTCGACATAGTTTCGGTCGTTGAGCTGGTGCTTCATCGTGCTCCGGAGTGGTGAGAGGTAGCGCGTCTTCTCCAAGCTCTCGATCGTAGTCTGACCCCTGACTGTGAGCCATAGATGCCACGCAGTGAATCCTGTTATGACAATTCCGATAATGCCGGATAGCACAGCGAGCAAGACGTAGTTGACAGGCATGAACGATTCGGTGTATTGTCCGTCACTGAGGATTTCGCTCCAGACCCAGGTCGCAGACGTCGCAAAACACACCCAGCAGAAGAAGGAGAGATATGTCAGGAACAGGACGAAGGCTTTGTAGTTGCGCAGGCCAACGCAGGTCGCGAGCCACGGGCAGTGGTGGTCCATCTTCAAGACGCAGCGCTTGCACGTGGAGCAGTGGTGCGAGCGGTCGGGCTTCTTGGACTGGCACTTGTTGCAGAAGCGCAGTTCACCGGTCGATGCCTTGACTGTGAAGGACGTGTACTGCATCTCTCCTCCTTCTTGTGACGGCAGGTGGCTGTAGCCATTCTTGATGTTGAGCGGCGATCCGGGGTCGGTGAATACGGCGGTAGTGTAGCTCCAGTTGAGCATGAGATAGAGGAAGACGCCGAGGGCAGACGAGAACTTTCCTATTCGACGTGTCAGTAGTCGCGTACTGGGTACTTGTTCAAAGTGATCTCATTGGACACGGGACAGATATGCATTGGTTGTATTGTACAGAGGGAGACGCACCCGTCCAGACATTCTTCGAGGGGACAAAGCCGATGCCAGCCTGCACCCACACGGCCCACGACGTCAGGCCGTAGACGAAGAGGAGCGGGAAGTAGGTGACGGCGGTGCAGCAGTACCGCTCCACCTTCCTGGCCCAGCCGCGGCGGCGCATAGTTCGCGAGGGGGAAGTCGGGGGAGAGGGCGAGCCCAGCGTGGCCATGTCTATGGACGCAGCGAGTGGGCGGGCATGTGGTGCGGTGGGATTGGGAGGGGATGTTTGTGCCTGGGGTCACCCCGTTTAGGCGCAGATCGAGGACGGGCGGCCTGGAGAAGGGGAGGCTGCGGAGGACAAGCAGCCGGCGCACGACTAGTTTCAGGGTGCAGCGGCGCACAGCATGACACAAACTAGCAAGCAGCGGACTTGGTAGATGGAATAGGCAGTGCTATACTGTAGAAACAAAGTCGCGCAATGGTCACGGGCGTCTTCGTGATGCCTACTCCGCAATTCGTAGGAAGTGCCAAAGTCTAGTCGTCGTCGTAGTCAATGTTGTAAGCGTCGGCGTCGTAATCGGTGGTTGAATGAGGCGCATGATGGGTAGCGCAGAGGGTAGCGTGTCCCAGAGTACGCAGCTCACATCGACTCGGCACGCCGACCACGTGACGCCGTTGTTGGGACCGCCAGCGCGGACACGGTACGTATGCATGTCATAAAACAAAAAGTCAGCCGCAAGGCTCAAGCACGTCCGGACAGGTGGCAGGTCAGACGCGCCTTTCAATCTTGGATGACTTCCATTTTTGGAGGCGTCTGGGTGCTGTCGCCCGTTTCAACTGCGCTGTCGCACACTCAGCCTGCGACGGCCGCGTCCTCTACAAGCTATATCCACCCGGGCGAGCGTAAAATAACGGCAATCCCGGGTGCATGCGCGATAATCTAAGGTAGCCTGATACAGTGGTTACAAGACGCAATGTCGGTGCCACACCCCGGCATGCTCCCGTATTGCTCCCGCCGCAACCTGCGACATTTAGACATGGCCCTCGCCCAGCGCGATCTGCTTCGGTCCTGCCACACAACGTCCTAATGCCTACTTTGTTCTTGCGATAGCGTGCCCCCACCTCCTCGACTTCGCGGACATGTCTAGCAACTCTCCTTCAACAGCAACAACTTTTGGCCCATTACCTTAGCTAGACATGCTTGCCTCCCGGAAGCGGCCCACGCCGCTGCTGCTGCTCTTCGTCCTCGTCCTCATCGGAATATGGTACCACAGCAGAGACACTGACCGCATATACCTGCAATGGATGTCCTCGATTGAGTCGCGCCCTGCAAAGATACCCTCCAACAAAACCCTAGGCTTCGGCGCCGTCGTAGTCGTGTCCAAGGATGGCTCCTCGCGCCGCAAGCCACTCCTGCAAGCTGCCAACGTCACCGACATCGACCTTACCATCCCGACCCAGCCAGAATGGACAGAAGGCGACGTCCAACGCTTCATCAACGGTCAGGAAAAGGCGCAGAAGGGATCGATACTAGCGTGGTTAGGGCACCACAACGCGCTGCGCTGGTAAGTTATATCGACGCCGGCATGCCACCCGTCTTGGCGTGCATACAGCCACATCGAGCAGCTGCTGATTCGCTATGATTTAGGTTCCTAGATTCAGGCCTTGAGACGGCTCTCATTCTCGAAGACGACGTCGATTGGGACATCCGCCTGCGCAGTGTCCAGATACCCCTTGCGGCAAGCGCTGCCCGACAGCTCCTTCCTCCACCACGCGCTCAACACCCGGGCGTCAACGCCGCCAGCAACCACACACAATACTGGGGCGACCAAGATGCCTGGGATCTGCTCTATCTCGGTCACTGCGGTGACTACTTTGATATTGTCACCGAGGACGGCCCAAAGACCGACCGCCAGAACTTCAACCTGAGCGCTATGCCACACATCCTATGGCAAGACCCTACGCTTCCATCGTGGATTAACCTGCACCCATTTACGCAAGACCTATTCCGCCTTTTAGGCATGCCCGAGAAAACGCGCGTCATGCACCGAGCCAAGTTCCCCCTCTGCTCCTTCGGATACGCCGTCACACGCCGCGCCGCCGAACGCCTCCTCAACGATCTCGCTCCGCCGAAACTGAAGAAGTCAGGAGCCCGCGCATTCGACGTCGCTCTTCTTCACGCCTGCAACAAGGGAGAGAACACGCCATCTCCCACACCGGAGTGGCAGAAAGCCAACCCTCGAAGTCGAAGCAAATACCCGAGCCCGGGACTACGGTGCTGGACACTGAACTCCGAGCTATTCCATCACATGCCTGGTAAAAGCGAGATTGATTCAATTGGAGAGAAACTTGGCGAGGAACATAGCCTGCCGCCAGTGGACCTGGCAGCCCAAGCGCAGGTCGTATACCGAAACGAGACCACAAACATCGACTGCGGATTCTGGAACGGCGCCTTCGCATTCGACGAGGACGATACCGAACGGCTGCATTTCCTGCAAGAAAAGGTCGGACGACAGGGCAACTGCCTCAAAGAAGGCAAAGACCGAGACGAGATCACATACCCGCCTCAAAAAGCGATGACGTGAGAAACCCTCAGCACAACACCGCATGTCACCTTCCATGTACATATTAGATTTCACGACGAGCACATCTTAACAGGATACCCGGCGTTATAGACACCACGGGATTTTACGGGCGTTTAGCAGGAGCATCAACTAGGATTTCATCGGCGACATGAAGCCTCAGGACAAGGCGCGATATGATCTTTCTGGATTTTCTTCTCTACACTTCTTAGGGCACTATACCATAGCGGCGATTTCATCTACCAAGGCGTATGTATGCAAGGGCATGGTTTGGAGACCGCCTTTTTGTCACAGTTCTACGATAGCAACTATCGACGTTACTTTGAGCGCTTCATGAAACAGATTCGCATTGCATTTTCTCATGCTTCTTTGCCTAGTGACGTACACACATGCACCCCTCAGAACTCCAATGCATCGTCCACAAAAAGTATCACCGCTTATTCGGTACACGGCAGCACAATACCAACGATCGCAATACTAATCTTCTCCACTTGCAACAGGTGGGGCCGTACTCAACCACCGCGCAATCACCGACGTCACAGCGAAACCGCAAGGTCTCACCACCAACACGACAAGTGATCACCACCAAACTCCCCGATGACAGGAAAACTTTTCCCATTTACCAACTACCCCCTCTTCGCCCTAAAACAAGCACGGCAAATCCCACATCCTCCATCCATCCCTCCATTCCGTCCCCATCGCGTCCTCAACGCGTCGGTTTACTTTCGCCGTACCTGTCGATCTGCCCAGCTCGTTTCGGACAGCGGACAAAGCAAGCCTTATCCTAGTCCGGAAGTGACATGTAGATCCTTGCCCGCGTTTTGGGACAGCGACGTGTAGGCGTGTCTGGGCGTGAAACAAGCTTTATTAGGGCCGATGGCCACGTGTGAGTGATAGGGGAGGGAGAGAGGGAGATTTGAGGGGAGTCAGTTCACGCGTGAACGCGTTGAGGTCGGAGGGGGTGTGAGGCTTGGAGAACGTGAGAAAGTTGGTTTGCGATGTGTGGGAGGGAGGTCGCGTTTGAGTGGGGTAACGGGTCTGGAGATTTACGTCCGAGTTCGTTGGAATTTTTGGGTAACTTGCGCGTTGACTTTTGGTTCTTGGTTGCGCGCTGTCCGTTGCGTGCGAAGCGTTTATTCCTCATCTGTGGAGTCCATCGTAGATTCGGTATCCGATTGCTCACTCAGTGGGCCATAGTAATCGAGCATAGCTTTCGAGCTCAACGAGCTCATGATATTGGAAACCGTATCACAGTCCTCCTCTCCATACCGGGACCTCTTCCATCTCTGTAGTAGATCTACTACGAGTCTGTGCCGATTTCTTTGTGCTCTGTACAGTTTCCGCCTGAAGATCTTGTTGTGCAGTCCCTGTATATTAGCTCCTGGCTCAAGGAGATAGGCGACCATCTCGAGATTGCCTTTTGTAGCTGCGGTCTCGATTGCGCTCAGGCCATGTACAAACGGAAGCACATGAACAAACGCCCCGCCTTCGGCCAAACGCAGAGGCATATTAACATCCGCCCCGCCTTCAGCCAATAAGCTGACTATGTCGAGGCTCCCCACTAAGACTGCTTGTTGCAGCAATGATGGGTATCCGGGAAAGCCCATAACGTTGGTCTCTGCTTCAGCTGCTATCAGCTGGCGTACTATAGACGCATCACCTCTTGAAACCGCAAACCCAAGAAGTATCTTTCCATGCGCTGAGATAATGCTGTTCCATAGATTATTTGGACTGGCCCCCAGTTGAATCAGACACTTGACCTTGATGCAATTGCTGAGTTTCACAGCTGCTCTAAGTGCATTGTCGAGGTACGATTGCACATAGTCGTATCCCATGACTAGATTGACATCTGCTAGACGCCATTCAGCGTCTGGGATCGCATTTTGGATATCAACATTTTTCGAACAACAAGCGCCGACGTAACCAGCAGTCAGTTGTCTTACTCGCTCGTTACATTGCTTCTTGTCGAGACCGCGATAAGGGAGTTGCAGGAAGGCTCTGAGGTAGCTAAACTTCTTAGCATACAAGGATACCGAGAAGGCGCTTTCGAAGTATGTGTCTCCATCGGGCCATTGGTGTTCATAGATACACATATAGGGATTAAATCCAGTGTCGAGAAGGATGTCGACTACCTTGTCGAGTGACAGTCTCACAGCGATAACAAGTATCCAAACTCCATTCTTGGCTGTTTCAAAGCCCGAACTCGCGACTTTGGCAAGCAAGGGTTTTGCGAGGTCCGTGGCATTCTGGCTGGAGGCGTGCGCGAGGAAGTGACAGTCGTAGGTCCGATGAGTGGTGAAGATTGAAGCACCGTGACTGGCAAAGATATCAACCAGGCCCTTGTGTCCTCTGTGAATAGCTGATTGTATGGGGTTGTATGCCTTGTGTTGTGCTTCATGGTGGGATCGATGGTTGTAGGCTCTGAAAGCGTTGACATCCACTCCAACGTCGAGTAGCATCACTACCAAGCATTTGTTCCCGTCTTCCGTGGCATAAAGCAGGAGGTCTTCGCCGACGCTTTTCCACTTCGCATCTGATTTGGCAATCAACAGCAAGCGTATGAGAAACGCCATGTCTTCAGCAGTGTCGAAAGCTCTCATAATGTCGTAAAGATCATCCTTTGGTAATGTGTGCTTGACAAATAACCGGAGAAACTGATTGTACCCATGATAGAGAAGCTCTTTTACGGGCTTCTTGTCTAGATGGTGAAGATGATATCTCTCCCCTATGGGGATAATGCTGGAAAGCTCATCGTCGCCGACAAAGATGGCTGCGCGCATATATTCGTACAAAATTTCTGGACATGAGCGCTGTGTTGAGTCTGAGATCGAATGTGACGACGGAGACGGTGAGCGTGTCACTCCCAGGGGCGTTTCGGTAGGGATATGGTCGGTCATGTCAGATACAGCGGTCACATCCCGAGTAGCGACTGCCGATGATAATACATAGTCGTCCTCTTGGGCACGTACAAGTGGTCCTTGAGGACGACCAGCCGTGGGAATTTCCTCATGGAGGTGCTCGTCATGCACTGGCTCTTCGCTCAGCTCCTGCAGATCGTGTTCTACAGTCGGTCGTGGCGTGGAAATCTCGATGCTCGGTGGCGTTCGAGAACGAGACTGAGGGCGTAGTCCTGAATGACCAGTCAGTGGATCGGCATGACCAACGATGTCTCTTCACCTACGTGATTTGTAGAGATCAAAAGTCATTTCACGTTTCCGAAGTCTTTGCTTTTCTATTCTTGCCTGTGGTATCACTACCCCACGGACTTTGACGATGGTCGGGCGCTTCCTTTTGTCCAGGCGACCGAGAATGAAATTCCATTCTTTCTTTCGTACATTCTTCGAGACGCGCCATTTCTTGAAAGATCTTTCGTACTGCGGTTTGCTTTCGTTCGTTAGAAAAGCGATACTTGGTATCAAACACCGCTTACGTTCGTGTAAAGCCTCGACTAGCCATAACATGCATGACGTCAGACAGCGGCTTGTCTTGCCCAACGTATAGAGCAAGGATATCTTCCTTTCGTGACGTCCATTCTGACTCTTCTTCTTCCTCTCTTTTGGGCATGTTCCAAGTCTTTCGACCAACCAGTAGTTCTCGTTGTGACGTTTCGAGTAGGGTCTTCTAGCATGTGTTGTTCGGCAATAAGCCAGTGGTGAGCGATACAAGGCTGAGAGGGCTCAATACTTAGGCAAGAATGTCGAGGCTCGCAAGGCCTTTAATGGGACAATAAGAGGAAAAATCCGACGACTATAATGTCGAAACGTATGTCTATCGTATGGTAATGTTCAGCTGGTAGAGGGTGCAAAGGCCTCTAGGGAAGAGGCGAGGCAGGCAGCACTCCATTGGCCGCTTCCAAAATCATCGACCCGCCGAGCCTTATACTGCGACCCGGCTGAAAAGCCTTCTGTCGCCGTAATCTTGAAGTCCTGGTGATTGGATCATGCCAAAATCTTCGGTCACTGGCAGAAAGTCGGCTCCCAGCTTATGCACAGCCGCAACAACCCTGTGTAAGTCAATGCGCCACGCGACTCGATGCGGCCCATCTGAGAGGCCGATTCCAGAATCTCTCAGGCGGTGACGACGGCTCTGTCCGTCTACAAGGATGAGGCAGCGCGCCCCAGCATCGTGCCGGCTGGGGCTATTGCGCCTCGCGAGGACTGATTGGCTGCACACAAAATCTCCCTTGGATACTCGAATCTAGTAGGCCTGTTCCACAATCTTATACCAACGCAAGCGATGATCGCGGCAGCGGGAATTCTGTACCCATTGATAGATGCGTGCGGCACTGCGCCCGAGCAGACCTCATCAAGCCTCTTCCGGATAGTCGTGCTACAGCGAGGCTACGAATGATTGACTATGGCCAGAATCACCGTCCATTTCACGCGCCATCGAAGCTTAGCACCGGCCATAGACGAGGATGTTGCTTACCCCACGCGCCACCTTAACGTGGACCGGTAGCCGTGGATCGTACTTGGGTCGTGCGGCGGATTAGCGCACTTCTAAATCCTATACCCCTTCAGCCAATAAAGTGAGTATTCTACAAGATATATAACATCAGTTGCTCGCTGCTATGCCCGAGTTCGAACAGCAGCGGCATAGTACCTGGGTATCCACCAGAGCAGACTGGAAGACTCGTACACCTGAGCATACTTCAACGCAAGCATTCTGTCCCAAGGCCAAAAGCTGATCCCCAGTGCCATGGCACTCGACACCCAAAGCATCGTTGCTATCATTGCCCTCTTCGTCACATGTCCACCGACTATTTGGCTTCTCTATAAATTGTACATGCGACGTCTAAATCGGCAACATCATAGTATGTGAATGCGCACTCTTACCACGTCCCCCCGCAGCCTAACATGTTCTAGTCACAAGCGCTCTTCTTCCGACGCATACGCCCCCTACAAGTGCACCAATAGCAAGACAGCCTATCCTGTTCCGGCTCCAGCGCTCGCACACATGGTCGCTGGACACCACCATAATCCTCGAAGACATGGCGTCCGCAATGCACCATGAGTCGAGAGGTACATTGGCACACCTCCACATATCCAGATACAACATTAACTCGACAGGGATATGAGACTCTAGTTTAGCTCAAAACTTTCTCATGTAGATGAGCTTGATCGCCCCGTTTACTGGATAGCGTACCGAGATGAAGACACACTGGATTATTGTAAGCCACCGCAGAACTTACCAATATGGTATAGATCATGAATGATGGCGAACATAAGGACGTACACAGTCCAGATGCTGTCAGCGTGGAGGCTTTATGGAAGGACAATACGATGTGAGAAGATGGATGTATGTAGACAGCATCGATAGCGCGTCAGTCTCCGGACGGCACAATACCTTCATGGTGCTCTCTCATATGTGCCAATACCAGTCACCCATTAGCGATCCCGTCTCTACACGCTATTCCCATTCTATGCTCATGGCACCGCAGGTCGCTTCCTGACAATGGACGGCTTCAGTACCCTCTGATACCGCGCCAGATCAAAACTCCCATCTTCCAGCTCTTTACTATGCGGGTCACCAGCCCAACAAAATGTCCGACACTTCTCGCGGACTTTCTTATCGTCATCCAAAGTCGCCTCGCACCAAGTCCAGATGTAAGCACCAGTTTCGTACTCCTGCAAACGCTTGAAGTGGTTTTCCTCCTCCACTTTCCACACCACGCCTGACACTTTCTCATCGTCATCGCCAAGTATGAGCGCTGGATATATACTCCACATTCTGACTTTGAAGCCGGAAATTGTTGCAGGTCGTGTGGTGGGAAGCTCTGGGAGGTTCAGGACCGCTTGTAGGACTTCCGGGTCCATGAGTGAGCCGTACAGGAACATGTAGCATGGACTAAAGGGTTGGTCAGGTGGTAATAGGGCATTCGTAGTGCGATTATGCTTTGATTGAGATGGTGGCGCAGATACTTTCAAGTTTATGGCCTTTGAGGCGGGCTTTGGGGCAGGTGGGAGAGGAGGTGGGGTTGGATCAGGCATGGTAGCAGTATCTATAGCACTGTCGCGTTCATGAGAACCCAGATTATCGTCACAGAAAGATGAGTTACGGGCTGTGTGGCATTCAGCGCGTCGAAGAAGGCTGCAGCCTAGCGTCCACGTGCACAGCCTCGGGCATCATCGGCCCCCGGGCCTGTGCCGGGTCCAGCTGCCCCCGCGGCGCAACAACAAAAGAACGCTATCGCTTCCCCTGAACAACAACCCTCACTCCCTGCGTCCCCGGCTTCGCGCGCGGAACAAAGCTATCAAGATACAGATCAACAGCGTCGCGCCCAGTCTCAAACAGCGCGCACTCAAACCGCCGAAAGAAACTCGCAATGCCGATGTACAAATCCGTATACGCAAGCTGCATGCCCACACAGCTCCTCGTTCCACGTCCAAATGCAATCAGGTACTTTGTTAGCGCCTTTCCATCTGGCGCCTTTGCATCGTTTGCCCAGCGCTCCGGTATGAACGCGAAAGGATTGGGGAAAATGCTTGGATCATGAGAGGCGGTGTAATGGTCCATGCTCACGATAGTGCCTACAGGGAGCTGGTAGTCTACTTCGGGGGTGTGGTAGACCATGGGTGTTGGTGAGAGGCGAGGGATGCGCTGAGGAGTGCCGTAGCCGAATCTCAGAGCTTCGTTGACCACGCCAGTCAAGTACGGCAACTGCATCAACGCGTCGAGATTCGGGATGTGATTTGGCTCTGGAATCGCTGCATCGAGTTCAGCGCACAGATTGGCCAGCGTCACGGGATTGACGAGAAGGTGGTACGAGCATGCCGACAGCGTGTACATTGTTGTTTCGATGCCTGCGCCGATGACGGAGATGGCTTCGTGCTGCAGGCGTTTGGTGGAGAGTTCGCTAGGCGGGAGATCGGACTCGAGGAGAGCCGTGAAAAGAGATGGGATGGCCATTGTCTTTTCTCCAGAGGCGTGTACGGCTTTGGCGTGCTGAATTTGCGTCTCCATCTCTTTGTTGAAGGTCATGACAGAGCGCATTGGCGGCGACAGGAGCACGACGAGCCAGTCTGGGAGCAGCTTCAGGGATCTGATCATCCATGGGAATTGCGTGATGAAGTGAACAGGGTCGAGAAGATCAACCCTAAACGTGTTAGTCATGCTACGTGTATGATGCGACATAAGGTGGCATACATGGCGTCGGAGAATCGAGCGCGAAAGTCGGGGTTCAGGATGAAGTCATACGGCTTCTCGAGACAATATCCGACCACGATATCCGAGGTGAACGCACCCCACATGTTATTCAGATTCATCGTCTTCCCGTTGGCGACGAATCCGGAATCGATGCGATTGCAGAGACGATCCATATGACTCTGGACGTGAGGCGAGTACTGAGTAATCTTACGTTTAGAGAAGAAGGGGTTGAGCGCGCTACGACGCAGACGATGAAGACTGTGCTCAGCAGTAGCAAACGAGGACATCTCATTGTTGAAGCGGTGCTCGAGATGCTTCAGCTTGTCCGAGTGGCGAGACTGCGCATACAGGGTATCGTAGAAGGTGGGATCTTGGATCTTGGATGTGTACTTCGTTTGGACTAACACGCACGATAGGCCCTGCAACAAAGTGGTGAGCAAACAGTATTTGCTTCCTGGACCATGTAGACATGCCGTATTTCTCATGCCATTTCTGGTATTCCCACATGAATTGACCACCGGGCGCCTTGAAGCACTCATAGTACGTTTCGACCCATTGCGTCAACGCAGCAAGCCTAGGACCTGGAACGCTCCGCAGAGGGTGGAAGTAGAGACGATAGATGGAGACGTAAAGTACGTATAACGTGAGGAACACGCTAGACACAAGTCCAATCCGCCCGTAGGTCGAGGACACAAGGTTGTGAAAGAATTGATTCATGGCAGGGTTCTGAGGATCTCAACCGCAGCCCGTTCGCGCAGACATATTGTATCAAAGCTTTCGAACTGTACGAACGTGCACCTGAAGCTGCAGAGTGCTGACTTGAAGCATGCCTGGCAGATTCACTGCGTTTGGTGGTCGCTGAGTAGGTGAAGATGACCACGCAAAGTCATTGCAATCGGATCATCATGAGACGAGCGCGAACACAAGAATGTAATACACGGACCGCAATCTTACAGGATGCTGACCTTGCATTAGTGTGACGGGCCGCGGGTGACGGCGCTACAGCCAATTAAGAGCCATCAAAATAATCATAAATGTAAACATCAAACTGTGCCACGCTCGTGCACGCTGCTTAGAAATGACAGCTCGGTGCCTTCCTGCTAGACAAGGCTGCAGGTGACCGTGCAGTGTCACGTGGCTGCTCAACTCAGGGAGTAACAGCCATGGAGCTGAACCATGATATTGGCCGGCTCGCGCTATAACCGACTGCATCTAACTGCAACCTACATACCATTCTCACCATACCCGCTGCACCTCCGACAACATGCCTGGAAAGACGTATCTCATCACGGGAGCTAACCGCGGTACGTACCTTTGACCTACTTGGGACTGCTAAACTGATTTAACTGGATATGCAGGCATCGGCCGCGGCATGTTCGACCATTATGTCGCACAGCCAAACAACACCCTCATCGCTGCCGTGCGCGACCCTGCCGGTGCTCAAGCCCTGCTCAGTGTTTCCAAAGGCGAGAACACCAAAGTCCTCATCGTCAAGATCGACTCGGCATCCAAGACGGACCCATACGAGGCCGTGAAAGGCATCGAAAAAATCGACGTCGTCATCTCAGCTGCTGGTATTGCGCCGCTCAACACCGTCGCCGATGTGCCACTCGAGGAGTTCGAAAATGCCCTTCAGGTCAATGCCATCTCTGTCATGATACTGTACAAGGCGACCCTGCCCTTGCTCAAGAAGTCAGACTCGGCCCGCTTTGCCTTCATCAGCGCTGCTGGCGGCAGTATCAACAACATGCCTGAGTTCCCTTATCCCAACATCAGCTATACCGGCTCCAAGGCGCTCGCCAACGTCATGGTCCGCAAGATGGGTATGGAAAACGACTGGCTGATCACGCTGTGCATTCATCCTGGGTAAGATATCTCCAAGCTTGCTGTGTGATGCCAAAGTTGACATGTCGTGTGAATAGCCTCGTCCAAACAGACATGGGCAACATGGGCGCACGCGCTTTCGGTCTGGAGAAGGCACCGCTCACCCTCGAGGACAGCAGCAAGAACACTGCGCACATTGTGAGTTTGAAAACTTCTCTACAACGTTGTCTATCGTTAACGGGGCTCTAGGTCGATAATGCCACCAAGAAGGAGCATTCTGAGCAATTCTTCAACGAGACCATTGACCGCCGCTACCCTTGGTGAGACGGGATGTTTGATGGTGGAGGGAGGATCGTGTCTGGACGATATGAGAATGGGCATATCGGACGACTGTGCGACGTGGAACTGGTCTTACAAATTAGTATTGTAGTTGGCATATCGAGATAAATCATTTGCACCCGACGCCTTATGAGGAATGTTGCAGACAGCGGTTACTGTTTATTATTAGCCCGAAAAGCCATGAGTCCTTTTAACAGACTCTATGTTGCTTCACCGTACTTTAGCCTTTGCCAATGCTCACAACAGCGATAACCAATCCCAGCTATTTTTCGGGCGAAAGCCCTCGATCCTTCGCTACGAGAGCTTCCTTGAATCTGTCACAGCTCAACTTACCTTTCGCACGCTTGTTCAGATCACCACCATGTCGGACCAGGACCTCTACTACCTCCATCGAGCCGAGAGAAAAGGCCATATGCACGGGAGTCCAGCCGTGAACATTCATCGCGTTGGGATTTGCACCGGCTTTGAGTAGCCTCGACATCACCTTCACATGTTTACCAAGACTGGCCCTATGCAGAGCTGTGTTGCCGTCACTGTCGGGTTCATCGACGGTGTACCCCGAGCCCAGCAGAAGACCTACGAGGCTGTCATGACCGGCCTCGGCCGCGATGTGGAGGTTGGTCTGAAAGGGCTCCTCGTCGTCGAGGTCGTTGTCTTCTCCAATGCGGCCATCGACAAAGAGGTTGGGGGTGATTATACGAGTGTTGATTTGTGACTTGCGCTCATGTTAGTGATTCGCCAGCTTTATGACACGTCTCGAAATTTACCGCATCACCGCTGCTTTCAGACCCAGTTTGAGCGCGGCTCGCTCCGATGTCAGGCCACGCGGTTCTGTTTGTGTCTTGATTGGAGTAGAAGCCCCCAGCGTCGTCAGTACTGGAGACCATGGCCTCGGCTGGAGGGTCGTGGGGCCATAGCACAGCGTGACGTGACTGTGTCATAGACGGTGGGAAGTTGAAGTCGGTCATGTTCATGTGCGGGCTGCATGTCACTCAGCCAGATCGCCACGCCATAGCATTGAGAGTGTCTTACTGTGGTCGCAACGATGGCGAAATAGGCGAATCTTGAAGTTGGCGGAGCAGCCCTGTAATTGTGACGTCCCCTCGTAGTGTGTGGCTGTCATTGGGGGTCGTCGATGGGGGCATCGGGTCTTGCTCCGACGTCTGTAGTCCAGCTGCGTGAGGGTGAGATAGCCTTCCCTCGCTGCCCCATGCCAGCACATCGTGGTTTGACTGCGGGCGCGGCTGTATAATTGGCCCGCTCGCTGTAGCTGCAGCGGACGGTGCCGCCGCTGTCGTGAATGGCTCTCCTCCATTTTTAGTCGCCTTCTTGCCTGCAGTGCCCGAACGGTCAGTATCAAAGGGCCGAGTAGTCGCAGAAGCCTCAATAATAATAGAGGGCGCGCCTTTGACTCGGACTAGGGCCCGGCCTTGATTCGGGCCTTCTAGCAGTTTAAATCACTTACTGCGAAAGCGTCGCTGTGCGTGTCGGTTCTGTATCTTTCGCCGTTCCACGGCATCCATGGAGGGTTGCATTGTTACGGCACGGGCAGGAGGCTTGAGCTATATAGCGAGCAAGAATGGCTAAGACTCACGTTAATGACTGCGCACACGTGCAGGGTCTCAGGCACCCGCTGAAGACAGGGCCGAGTGCTGTGGGTGATCTCAGCCCGGCTCGGAGTTTGGCACTACTCTATCTAGCGCCGAGAGCTAACCTTGTTTCGGTCTAGACGGATCACGTGATATCCACGCCGTCAATCAACTACCTAGGTATACAACACACTTCGCATGATGCTATATCTTATTCCATCCACAAGCTTACAATGTACACATACACGGTGAGAGCTTCAAAGTAATACTGACGACTATTCAACACATCGCTATCTTGTGTGATGTACCTAGGTAGAGTTGCGAACTCGGAAACTACTCTCCGTACACCATAGGAGAAAGAAAGAATAGAGTGCGCCTTTGACTCAGACTGCGGTCTGGTCCTAGGTTGGGCTTGGTCTTTAAGATTGTGCTTTGGTATACGGTATGATTGCAATAGCTTTGATGTTGTTCGCTGGAGTGTCTGGTGCCCAACTAAGGACCAGACCGCAGTCTGAGTCAAAGGCGCACTCTATTCTTTCTGAGTGTCTGGTGCGTCACCGCAGTACCGTGGTCGTCGGCGGGGCTGACCATAGGAGAATCATCCAATCCTGAATTTGATTGTCTTCCGTGCAATAGCAGGCGACTTTGTTAAGACCGCAGGCGCGTATTTCCATGTGCGTGTCGATTTGTAAACACACTCATTGGCAATAAGTACCTGTGAGCATTGGGGGTTGCGGACGAAGGTATGCGCGGCTGAACGCCCAGCGAGGTCGATATAAGGCAATCAGCAAAGGCAACCAGTATGGCCTTTCTAGCGAGCCAGGCCAGCGGAACTCGTCGAAAGTTGCTCACCCGAAACGTGGAGAGCGGGCCGTCGATTATGTTACACTACCTAGGTAATCATGCAAGGTCAGCATCCCATGGAATTGCGGCGTCGTCCGTGCATCAAGTCCACATTTGCAACACAATATGTCTTTGTCTCTGTATCTGCTGACATCTCAGCCCCAATTCCTCGCGCTTGCGATTGACCGAGCTGACAAAGATGGAAGCTGTGTCACATGTGCACGATCCTTCCGCTTTACCTGCAGCTTATCAATTCAGCCAAACATGATCGTAGGTCCACGGTTAAGTAGGCAACTGTTCTAACTACAAGCAAGCCGTACATGTCACCCTTCTCTGCATTGTTCTCCTGCTTCAAGCCCGTCGGCTCAAACACAGATCAATCTACCAGCAAAAAGACTTCGAACTCGTCAACTCCCAGCAACAAGTTCTCCACTATGGCGGGAACAACTTACCTCATCACTGGCGCTGCCAGAGGTATCTCTGACCTACTCTATTAACCGATGTTTAATTAACCATTCTCCAGGTCTCGGAAAGGCAATGGTCGAGACCTATCTGGCGCGCCCAAACAACACCGTCATTGCCGTAGCACGCACCACCAGCTCCGCGGAGTCACTCAAGTCCCTCCCTGCCGGCAAAGACAGCAAGCTCATCGTCGTCGCCTACGACAGCCGCGACACCGAAGGCCCGAAGAAGGCCATCGAACAACTCAAGAGCCAAGGCATCACCACCATCGACACCGTCATCGCCAACGCTGGCATCTCCTCAGACTACGCTCCCGTTGCCTCCGTCTCTCTCGACGTGCTCAAGTCACACGTCGAAGTAAACGCCTACGGCCCCCTTCTTCTCTTCCAAGCTGTGCTGCCCCTGCTCCTCAAGTCGTCCAACCCCAAGTTCGCTGCGCTCGGAACTCCCATCGCCAGTATCACCGGTATGGAGAGCCGTCCGTTCCCCATGGCTGCGTACGGAATGTCCAAAGTCATGTTGCACTGGATGGTTTGCAAGGCGCACTTTGACCACCCGGAGCTTACCGCGTTTGTGCTTGACCCTGGGTTTGTGCAGACTGACATGGGTAATGAGGGAGCGAAGACGTTTGGTATGGAGAAGGCCTTTATTACTGTTGAGGACAGTGCCAACTTTTTGGTATCGACGGTAAGTTTTTCGCGAGGCTACTGTGCGGAGTTAATGCTGACGTTGTGTAGATTGACAAGGCCACGAGGGAGGAGACCTCGGGACACTTTCCCACGATCGAGGGCGGGGACTTCAAGTGGTGATCTGGGTCGCTGTTTACTCGAGGTGGTGTCGTTTCTAGTCAGCCAACAGCAATGGAGGTCCAGTATAACATGTCAGTGTAGGCGTAGGCGTAGCACTGATGCACTGGTTGCGCAATGCCGCTCGTACGCGATGATCTTGCCCTGCCAATTCAAACCTTCTCATAATCTCTTCTCGCACCCTTATCTTGTTCCCAGTCGTCCAAGGTGGTGAACTAGAGTATGTAAACAATATTCCGGTTACGCTTTCAGAGACGAGTGCTTTTGGTGCGTCGTAGAAGGACCGTATCGAAAGTGCTGTAGCCTAGCGTGAAGCGGGCACAGCCTCGTGGCTGCCCCCGGGGCCGCTGGACTCGCCCTCGCTACCCATGCAGAATGCAGATAGAGACAATCTTGTAAGCGACAAACGTCGGGCTGGCGTCTAAAAGCCCGCGAGAACGAAAGTTTCCACAAGCTTTGCGACACCTAGGAAGGACTCGATAGATTCCACGCTGACAGCCTAAGGTGATGCAGAACAATGTAAGCCTCAAACAATGTGTTGGTATGAGTTGTGGGGGTTGTGAGTAACTCGTCGTGGTCTATTGGTTCCCTGCAGTACCACTGGATACATCGAATAGCAACCAAGGTGCGGTATAACGTGTGGCTGTGACTCAGAAAGAGGGAAGGCATCCATAAAACATGTGAAGGCGCGACCTGCAGCGGAAAAACACCCTCACACACACACTCAACCCTCACAAATACCATGGAATACCCCGACGATCTAGACCTAGAAGGCATGAACGCGCTGGACGAACTGACCGGCGATGCTGGACCATATGATCATACTCCCGCACCCAAGCTGTCCTCCGAGCTACAGGATCTCATCCGAGCCACCAAGTCCCAGACTCCAGCGAATGGAACCCCCAAGCGCAAATCGAGCAAGATGGACTACCTCTTCAAGATCACCGCACCCATCACCCCGACGATCCTCGCTTCTGCCGCCATCCTCTCCACTCAACCCAAAATCCACCAAGGGCAAGGCGAAGACGGCGACGCACTATTCTGTCAAATTCGCGACATCGACATCCCAGCGATTAAAGAATGGCTTGCGGAGGCATACCCCACCGTCTCACCAACGTTCATCCCCATCAACATCGCACGCAAAGCCCTTTCCCCATTCTCCGCATACCCAACTCTAGGCTACGACACCACACTACCTCACCGTCGCCCCCAAACCATCACGCCCTCCGACTACCAACCCGCACAAAACCAATTCCCAGTATGGTACTTCTTCTACGGCACCCTAGCCAATCCCTCACAACTAGCCCATCTCTTCAACTCGCCACCAGGCCAGCAACACACGTTACTCCCCGCTATGATACACTCCGGAAAGATCAGAACTTGGGGCGGTAAGTACAAAGCGCTGGTTGATAACCTTGGCACGTGCGTGGAGGGGTGCGCGTACGAGGTTGTGTCGCAGGAGCAGGAGGATGCGTTAAGGGTGTATGAGACGGCGAAGTATGAGGTTGTGAGGGTGGAGATTATGTGTCGGATGGATTCTCGAGCGAGGGTTGTGAGGGGGTTGACGTTTCGTTTTGCGGGGGAGGAGGGGGAGTTGGATGAGGATGAGGGGGAGTCGGATGAGGATGAGGGTTAGGGTGAGTAGGACGAAGATGAAGTTGAAGCGGCATCAGCGGATTAGTTCTTGTCGTAGGATGATGTTTTGAAGGTGTAGCAGCAGTGATGTAGTAACACATTAAACATTCATAATTGGAAATACATACATGAGCAAAGTGGCAAAAGTATAACTCGCCGAAAAGGAATTTGCTTCTATATCCTGAGAATGCCATCCCAAAGATACTCCATGCGCCACGCTGTAAATGCATACACAAAAAGTAAACCCCGCGGGTTGATCATAGTTCAAAGTTGTCCAGCCAGTGCTTGATGACCACCTTACCCTCATTGAAAGAAGGCTTGTTCATGCGTACAACGATAGCTGCATGTGAGTGTCGGTGGTTATGAATGTAGACCGGGTGTTTCGTAAAGCCAACGTTGTCCAGCGCTTCGATCATTCCGAATTGCTCTTGCGTGAGAGCTAGCGTGGGGAAGGTGGGAGTCGCGGCCTCTTTTTGCTCTTGTATCGAGTCGACGTCGGATCTGGACTCGTCCTTGCGTGGAGGAGCAGACCCTACGTGTTCGTAGCTCTCGCTCAAATATTCTTGGCTCTGGGCGTGGTTTGCGTTCTCGTACATGCCCTCAGCCTCGCGCCGTACGGCATTGATCATGAGCGGTATGCGATAGCGCGCGTAGTCGATGCCCGATCTGCCTTCCTCGTGCAGTCTTATCCGTTGCTGGCTGCGGATCGATTGGAATGCAGAGTTGATAAGGAAAGCCGAAACGCCGATCGGTACGAGGACTGTCAAGGCTGCGACAATGCCCGTCCTTCCCAGTATTGTCCATGTACCCTGTACCAGCCGCTGTGATAATGCCGGGGGCTCTTCTGGCTCCTTGTGCGAGACTGGGTGCTGGCCGTCGACAATGACGTCTTCGTAGTCGGGGATGTAATTTATCTTGATGTCGTCCGGGTCGACAAAAGGGTCGGTTTGCGAGATTCCAGCGGTGTAGTATGTGACCGTTCGATCGTTCACGACGTTCGCGTATAGACTCCGGTGCTTGAATTGGGCAAGGCCTCGGATGAAGATGCTTTCGGAGTCCGCAAGTACGGCTAGAAGTGATCTGTCTGTATCCCTAAACTTGTCCACGCCAAAGAGTTGTCTCCCGCTCATGGAGAGTGTTCGGGCACCTAAGACGTTCCAGATGTGGCTGTGATAGCCTTTGAGGGGTGTTCGTACGCCGAGGTGTGGTGTCGCAAACGTTGTAAAATTCTGGTGATGTTAGTTTACTGGATTGAGAGTCGTGGAGGGCAGTGTAGACATACGACTGGCTGTATCTTCTCGAAGATGCCTCTGTGGAACAGCAGGCCGATAGCATAGCGTGCTATTAAGCCTCCTAGCGAGTAGCCAACAACACTGATCTTTGTTATGTCGTGCCCAGCCTCAGCTAGTTCCTCCAACTTCCTCTCCACCTCTTCTGCCACGCGCTCGCCACCGGTGTCGATGCCATCGTATGTGAAGCTGCCAGCGTTGCGCTTGGCCACGAGAATGTGCAGTTTGTCTTCTGGATATCGTTCGCCTAGAGTGGTGCTGACGTATTTGAGATGCTCAGGCTTGCCCCAGAGGCTGGATGTGGTCAGCGACAGTGTTCCTTCTTGTCATGATAAGAGGCGATAAGCGTGCGACGGAGACAGGGACGTACCCATGAACGAGGACACAGAGGTGGTCGGCTTTCTTGGAGGTGCTCATGGAGGTAGACATGTCGAAGGTATCTTAGCTGGCCTGGGTATCACGGTGAAAGGCGCAGTATTTGTATATCGCTCGGGCGTCCACAAGTCGTCCGAAAGGCGCAGTATGACCCGAGACGCGTGCGGTCCGAAAAGCAATTCCTATGCGACGAGGGCACTTGTGATGTCGCGGAAAGTGGCGAGTTTGACAGGATATGATGTGTAGATGCGCAGTTTTATTCAGGCCCAGTCGCGCATACATTCATGGGTATCGACGCTGGGTGGAGGGTGAAAGGGAGGCGGCCTTGAGATGCGCACGGGTTGCATCACCGCGTCATGACGGAATTAAGGCGGATCGCCGTCGCAAGTTCGCCCGCCCGCGTCCGTGGACCCTGCGGCTAGCGCTAAACAATCTACAGGGCTGAGACGCGCATCTCACCTCATCCCTCACCTTCACCGTCTAGCCCGCTCTAGCTCTTTCGGGATAGCTGAAGCCCATATTGAAGCTTGCTGGGCATTTTGATCGCAGCGCATTTCTACAACACCACTCTTGATGAAGCTACAAGGTCACCGTTGACGCGCGAGCTATTCCACCAGCCGCCTTTGCATCTACATCAATATTTTCCTGTGCAATGAGATGTTCAAAGCTTGAGCATCACCCCTTCATAACGTTGCAAAATCGTGCAATCAAGTGTGTGTGGCTGGTGTCAGACCCAAGGCCAGTTTTCATACATCGCATCCATTGGCTGCATAGCTCTTCGACAGCTCTAGCCTGGCACCTTCCACAAGAATAAAGCTGAACAGGTCTGCAGACTGCATCAAAACAAAAACTTGCAAAGTAGGTGAGCTGACGTCAACGTAGGCTCCAGGGTGTTCAGGCATTGTATCTACTCACAGGAAAGAATACGTCGCAAGTGAAGCAATCATGTGGCCTTCAGTACCTGCTTACAGAAGCTTTGCCAACATAGCATGCCCTTCGGGCGCAAAGTGTGAGCTGCCTCACTGCATCTTCGGCCACGATTCTACAAAACCCATTACGACACGACGATCCCCATCGCCAGCTGCAGCTGCAACAACATATGATTCGGAGCCAATCGCGAAGAGACTGAAGCTTGACCACGACAAGAAAGCACCCACTATCACCAAATCTACGCCAGCCCAGAAGACGCCCGATGTCTCAGTCAGCACGGACATACCCAAAGACAAGACACCGACAACAAACAATGGGCCTACGGCTGCTAGCCCTGTCCCTTCTAAAGCATCGGTCGCAAGTGCCGCTACCTCTACTCTCCCGAAGTCTGCCACGCGGCCAGCATCACCACCTCCGGCTGTAGCTGCGCCCAAGGCTACTGTCAAACCCGACGCTCCTATAGCTTTGATGCCGCGCAAACTCAACAAAGAACCAGCCACTTTCACCAAACGGGTTGCTCTACTCAAGGCGCTACATTCCTACATGAAGCCGCAGAACGATAAGCTCCTCAAAGCAGTCAAGCCTGAGATCAAAGCGCTGCATCTATCCGCAAACCAGCTGAACAAGCTAGCAGTTGACGAAGAAGAAAGGATAGCTACATCAAACCCCTCGGTATACGAGAACATACTCAAGCAGCGATTGGTGAAGTTGAAAGGCATGCCGGCAGAGGAATGGGTCAAGGAACGGCGCGATGCGGTGGCCAAGGAGAGTGGAGAGCCACCAAAGAAAGCACCACCTAAGAGGATAGACACGGGTCTTACAGCGAAAGAAGAGATCACATTCCTTCCCAGGCTTGTGTGTCCACAGGATGGATTAGACCAGCACGGCTACGTGACCAAGGTACCTGCTGAGGCCGATCTCAACGAGACGAAGTTGGCGCTCGAAGCAGCTGGCGGCTGGGAGCAGTGTGACCGCTGCAACACCCGTTTCCAGGTCTTCTCGGAGCGGCGAGAAGAAGATGGAGCGCTCACAACGGGAGGGCAGTGCAAGCATCACTGGGGGAGGCGCGTTTTTCCAAGGAAAACAAGAGGCGTCGCCCCAGAACCTACAAAGTTCAGTTGCTGCAACGGGGAGGTAGGGTCGCCCGGCTGCACTACACATCCTACCCACGTGTACAACGTCAAAGATCCAAATCGACTGTCACTCATCATGCCATTTGTAGAAACGCCGGAGAACGACAAGGTCCCGAAGGACACCGCTGTTTGCTTCGACTGCGAGATGGGGTATACGACTAATGGCCTTGAGATGCTTCGTCTCACAGTCATTACATGGCCACAACACAAACCTCTTGTCGACGTACTGGTCCGCCCACTCGGACACGTATTGGACTTCAACACCCGCTTCTCTGGCATCACCGCAGACCAGTTCCTGAACGCGAAACCATATGATCCAGACAATCCAAAACCCGTCCGTAAAGACCTACGTATCGTCGACTCTCCCCACGCAGCAAGAGACCTCTTTCTCTCACATGTCTCTCCCACCACCCCAGTCCTCGGCCATGCGCTCGAAAACGATCTCAATACCATACGCCTCGTCCACCCCACCATCATCGACACCGTACTCCTATATCCGAACCCAAGTGGTCTCCCCTTCCGTTTCGGCCTGCGAAAACTGGCGTCCGACCACCTCGGCGAGCAGATCCAGCAAGGAGGCGCTGCCGGCCACGACAGCTACGAGGATGCGCGTACCACGGGCGAACTGGTCCGATGCAAGATCAAAGAGAGGTGGAAACTTTTGAAGATTGATGGCTGGCAGATTAGAGACGATGGTGTGTATCCGCCTATGCCGTCTGAGAAGCCGCCGGAGCATGCACCAGCGGCGCCATCCATGGTGCCAGAGGCGAAGATGGCGGTTCTGGAAGGAAATCCGGCGCAGAAGAGGAAGGCGGAGGATGAGAAGGGTGACGAAGAGCCGGAGGCGAAGGAGCAGGGATGAAGATGCGGTGGTAGTGCGGGTACTGGTGTGCGAAACGAGAGGCGAGGATGAGCGGCATGGCGATGTGATTGGATGTGTATATATGTATGGTATTGTAGCATAGCACGAGACGACCTCCTCATCCTGTACCTATCCCGGGGGCCACCTCATGATTAACAGAGCTCCAGCCCTTGTCCATCCGCGAAGTGCCCAATTCCTGTTAGATCTCTTTGTTTCCCCCTGGCGCATGTGGTGGGCTTGTCTATCATCACCGTCCTCGTCGTCGCCTCTCCAACGCTTATCTCGTCTTCCTTCGTCTTCCTTGGTCTTTCCCAGTCTTCCGCATCGTACCTCCCAGCCTTGCAGACCTGCACTTGAATACCGTTGCCTCCCATGCCGCTCCTCAACCCACTTTCTCCCTATCCAACCCCTG